GGAGGAACTTTGGGCGAGAGGCTAGGCTCTCTTCCTGGGTGTGCTCCTCTCGTTCAGGTTCCTTCTTCGCCAACAGAGAGTTCCGTCCCTGAATGGCAGAGCACGAGGTCTCATTGGAAGCCTGGAACAGGCAAGCGTTGCGGGGGGAGGGCGGAAGGGGCGGGCGGGCGGGGGGACCGGTAACTCTATCGTTTGAAGCGTGCAGCAAGAGCAGTCTCATCGGATCTCTGGAACAGGTTGAAGAGGCAATCTCGGGGGGCGGGGTCTGAGGGGTGGGGGGGGGGGCGGGGTGGGAGGCTAATAACGTCCGTGTTTGATGCGTGCAGCCAGACTACTTTTGTCATAGGGACTTCGGAAAACGCAAGCTCCGAGGCTGGACACGCACCTTTGGGTGGCGGGGGTGGTGGGTTGGGGGTGGGAGGTTAATAACGTCCGTGTTTGATGCGTGCAGGAAGAGTACTCTCGTGGGAAGTCTAGAAAACGCAAGCTCGGAGGTCGCAAACGTGCCTTTTGATTGGTTTCGGGGGGTGGGTGTCGGTCACGTTCGCACTTATGTAGGCTACAAAAGGCGTGGTTCGGTCGGCTCTGGGCGGGCTCGGGGGTGGAGGGGGTGGGGTGAGGGCAGGGGGGTAGGGTGGGGTGGGGCGGGGGGTTAATAACGTCCGTGTTCGAGGCGGGCAGCAAGAGCAGTTTGTTGCGCTGTAAGACTTCGGGAGAAAGTTAAGGGGGAAAAGGGTTATTTACTGTTGCAGGACAGCGAGGCCAAATCCAACGTGCCGGCAATGTGGAGGCTGTCTCCTCAAGGTGCCAGACGTTCATTGCTTCCAATTCAGATTTCCGCCGATCTCAGGTCGACTATCGTCTCTGAATGGTAGAGCACGAGTGCCTCGAGAGGCGGGGAAGTTGACGGGTCCTCTCAGTTCTTTCGGGTCATTTCTAGGCAGCAGGGTGAGACTTTCGCAGGGTCTCGGCTCTCTGGCCGGACCAAGCCGACGCTTTTATCATCAAAGGAGTGGTCGCGCGTCACATCGCCACGGAAAGTTTTCTAAGGCAGATGCACAGAAATCGGTCGGCTCGAAAGGGAGAGGCATCCTGCGCCGTGTCCTGGGCTTTGGCTTCTAGCCAGGTGAAGCTTTCCTTTGTTTAAGTTGGCAGTTAGGATACGATAAAGCTGAGACGGCTTGCAGCGAAGGCCGACGAATGTGGAGGTCTCGGCTTTCTGGCCAGACCAAGCCGAGGCTTTTTTCGTCAAACGAGCTTTTGTGCGTTACAAAGCTATGGCAAGTCTTGTAAGGCAGATGCGCAGAAAGCGGTCGGCTCGAAAGGGCGAGGCATCCTGCGTTGCGTCCCTGGCCTCGGCTTCTAGGCAGGTGCAGCTTTCCTTTGTTTGAGTTGGCACTTAGGACACGACAAAGCCGAGGCGGCCTGCAGCGAAGGCCGATGTTGCACACACACACACACACACACAAGGAAGTGCATCTTTTCCGATACGGACGTTGCCGGGATCTCAGGTTGAGTGGCGTTCTTCAACGGCAGTGATTACGATTTTAGAGAGGCAGAGATGCCGACGACTCGTTATTCTCGCGGCGGAGCATGCGAAGGCAGTAGGGCGAGAGTTTTGCAGGTCTCGGTTCTCCGGCCGGGACGAGCCGAGCTTGCGCTCGACGTACGTCTTCAGGCAGTGGTAGCGTGGCCCGCCGCCATGGGTTGACATGGGACACCCAAAAAAAACATGCAGGTGCGTGATAAGTGCATGTGCTTCCAGTTGAGATGTTCGGCGAGCTCAGGTAGACCTCTGTCGCTCCAGGGCAAAGAATACGAACCCAGAGAGGCGGGGATTCCCGGCACATCTTTCTCTTGCGGCGGAACATGCGTAGTCAGGAGGGCGAGAGTTTCGCAGGGTCTCGGCTCTCTAGCCAGGCCAAGCTGAGCTAGCACTCGACATACATCTTCAGGTACTCGTTACGAGGCCTGTGTGCAGGGTCTCGGCTTTCTGGCCAGGCCAAGCCGAGGCAGCACTCGACTCACATCTTCACTTTCTCGTTGCGAGGCCCGTCGCTATGGCTTTGCATGTGCCTTTGAAAATACAAATAGGTAACGGCCCCAGCGATCTGTGCGCGGGGTTGCTGGATGGTCTGGCCAATTGGGTCAAGGCGCCGCCACACCTGTTCTGGGGGATTGGGGCCTCTCTGGTCGGCGTGCCAGAACTGAAGCGGAATCTTGGGCGTGCTCTTGGCACTGCTTCTGTGTTTCTGCAGCTCAGGGACAATGGACGCGATGTTGTTTGCAGAGTGTCCTGCCCTCCCTTCGTGCACGTGCACTTCCTGCCGCCACTGCTACATTCCTTCGAGTGGGTAAAGATCGTCTGCGTCCTTTTCGAGCAAAATGACGAGTCGGAGGCCTTGGCGGTGCTCATGCACAGGGAGGTGCCGGAGCTTGCTCACGAGATCTGGGACGAAGTGTTGTGCATCGTACGCCATAAGCACTTTCACGTTCTCATCGTGCTGATTTGGCGAGGCCGCCTTGCCGTCGATCATCTACACCTGGTGGAAGCTTCGCCATCCGGGCGCGCTCCGCTCCTGTCGCTGACTGTGAACGACCATCGAGGCCACTTCGAAGCGCTTTTGGCATTGCGCGCGGAGGTTAACTGCCCGGACAGTCGTGGTCATACTCCTCTGGCTTATGCGGTCCGTGCCCGCTCGCCCGCTCGCGCTACGCTGTTGCTACAGGCAGGTGCCGCGGTCGCGCCGGACACGGGATATTGCCCGCTCCTGCTGTCCGTGGCTGAGAGTCAGCGTGACATGCTGCATATTCTGCTGCATGCCAGGGGCTGCCCTCATCGGCGTGCCCCATCAGGCAGCCTTCGCGGAATTTCTCCTTACGATTTGGCGTGTCAATGGGATGATGAAACGACTCTGCGGTCTTTCCGACTGCATGGGCACCACGCCGCTGGCTTGCACCCGCCGATCCTGCCCGTTTGTTATTCTTTGAGCGGCACCGAAGTTGCCCTCAGCGAAGCCGGAGCCCAACACATTTCGGTGCTCGAGCATTGCCATCGCATGCCTTCGGCGGGGTTGGCTGCCGAAGAACACGATGATCGGGTTGCCATCACCTACGACTCTTCTTTGTCTGTGCGGGCTTATGCATTGGCCTTGCGGCGTGCTCTCGTTGGGGGTCACCATGACTCGGCCGCTAACATCCTGGAGCGTTATCCCTTCTTGATCAACGAGCAGGAGTCTCGAGTGTGGGGCGAGCAGGGCCTTCCTCTTCTTTGGGCGGTCGTGCGACAGGAAGCCGGTGCCGTTTCCACGCTGTTACAGGCGCGGGCCTCTCCGAACGCAACGCCCGGTCACGCTGCCCCGTTGCTTCTTGCGGCTCGACATGGAGGAATCGAAGCGGCCACTATACTTCTTATGGCACGAGCAGACGTCGGTCACGTTGGTGCCGGCGGCCAGTGCGCGCTGAGCGCAGGGGCGGAGCGTCAGTCTTATCCGGTGGTTTTGCTTCTCCTGGAATTCCGCGCTCATGTGAGTCAGGACCCGGAGGATCTTTTGCCGCTACTGGACAAAGCATTTTTGGGTGCTCGCAAAGATTTGGACCATTGCGCCACGCCGGCTCTATTGCTACGAGCCGCTGGTGCCCTTCCGCACTCCGCACTTTTCCATGCCGTAATCTCGGACCTCGTTCCGCGGCTCGTGGCCGAAGGCCACTGGTTCGGCCTCTTCGTGCTTCAGTGCTGGGCGCATTCTCGGTCGGGGCTCGATTCGACGGCCGTCCCAGGCTGTCCTGTCGCTCTGGCTTCGGGCTCCTAATCGATGACGCGTCGCTGTTGCCACACGAGCACGGAGTCTGTATCATACCAACAGAGGACCCAGTGCAGTATGGAAATTGCGATCGTGCAGGCAGGTCAGAGGAGGGACTTTGTGCGGCGGCGCTGGGGTTTCTTCCGCGGTGTGCTTCTCTCGTTCAGGTCCTTCCTTGCCTTGTTGACAGAGAAGCACCCTGCTTTGGTCGCGATGGAGAGCTCCTGGATAGGCAGGAAACTATCTTGCTTGGTGGCGAGAAGAACGTCTTGGCAGCATTCTCAATGGCCTGGTGAAGCCGATGTTACGCGCGACCGGGACAGCAGGCTCTTTTGCTGTCTCGGCCGTCTCCAGGCAGGATCTTTGCGAAGCTGCCGACAGCGTCGACGGAGAGTTCTAGGTTCCTTAAAAAAAAAACCTCAGGAAGAAGAGAGATCGCAGATACAGACGAGACGAAGCGCAAAACCCGGGCATTTGCTCGTCGGTCAGGCAGGGGACCGTCTTGCTCGCTCGCGATATTCAGGACTTGCCAGATTTCTCAGGGAAACAGTGGGGTCTCGGCTCCATGGCCATGCCAAGCCGAGTCCCGGGCTTTGGCTTCTAGCCACGTGAAGCTTTGCTTTCTTTGATTTTGCACTTAGGACACGACAAAGTCGAGGCGGCTTGCAGCGAAGGCCGATGTTGCAGGCACACACACACACAAGCAAGCGCATCGTTTCCATTCGGATGTTGCCGCGATGTCAGGCCGAGTGCCGTCCCTCAACGGCAGAGACTAGGATTTTAGAGAGGCAGGGATGCTCGTGGCTCGTTTCTCTCGTGGCGGAGCACGCGAAGGCAGCAGGGCGAGACTTCTGCAGGGTCTCGGCTCTCTAGCCAGACCAAGCCAAGGTTGCATTGGACGTACATCTTCAGGTAGCGGTAGCACGGCCCGCCGCCATGGCCTCGCGCGGGACACGAAAAATGCATGCCACCCAGCATCCAGAGACTCGATCTCAGGTGGAGTTCCGTTCCTGAACGGCACAGCAGGCGAGCCTAGAGAGGCGGGGATGCCGACGGCTCCTTTCTTCGATTTCGGAGCATGCGTGGACAGCAGGGCGAGAGTCTTGCAGGGTCTCGGCTCTCTAGCCAGGCCAAGCCGAGCTTTGTTATTTTTCTTGATTATATCTTGCTGAAGTAGTGGCTCTGCGGCACACCGCCATGGCTCTTTGCGTGCTTTTAGAAATTCAGAGGGGCGACCGTCCCAGCGATGTGTGCGCGGGGCTGCTGGATGGTTTGGCCGACTGGCTGAAGGCACCGCCAATCCTGGTTAGGGGGCTTCAGCCCGTCGAGATCGGCGAGTTGGCCTTCAAGCGCGATCTTGGGCTTGCTCTGGGCACGGCCCCCGTTTTTCTGCAGCTGCGGGATGCCCGACGCGACGATGCCGAAGCAGCGGGTTCCCTCTCCTTGCTGCAGGTGCATTTCGTGCGACCAGCGCTCACTCCGCTCGAATGGGTCCTTACCGTCGACGACTATCTCGAGCGCGGGGACGAGGACGAGGCCCTGTCGGTGCTCATGCATGACGAGGTGCCGGAGCTGGCAGACGAGATCTGGGACGACACGCTGCGCTTCATCTCTCACTATCACTTTTCCCTTCTCATGATGCTGATCATGCGAGGACGGCTTGCCGTCGATCATGATCTCCCGCCGGAAGATTTCTGTTCCTGCCGTGCTCCTCTTCTTTCGATGGCCGCGAACCGGCCTCGCGGTGATTTCGAAGCGCTTTTGGCATTGCGGGCAGATGTAAACAAACCCGACAGTCGCGGTCATACCCCGCTGGTTTATGCGGTCTTTGCCTACTCGCGCGGTTGCACTACGCTGCTCCTGCGGGCAGGCGCTTCGGTCGCGCCGGACACGGGATACTGCCCGCTCCTGTTGTCCGTGGCCATGGGGCAGTGTCAAATGGTGAATGTTCTGCTACATGCGAGGGCGTGCCCCCATCGGCGTGCCGTAGCGGGCAGCCTTCGCGGGATATCTCCGTATGGTCTGGCGTGTGAATGGAATGACGGAAGAGATCATGCGGGCTTTCCGAATGCACGGGCACCATACTGCGGGCCCGCACCCGCCGATCCTGCCTGTTTGCTTTTCCCTGAGTGGTTGCGAGGTTGCCCTCAGTGAAGCCGGAGCCGAACATGCTTTGATCCTAGAGCAGTTCCATCGCATGCCTTCGGTGGGGTTGTTGGTCGCCGAAGAACACAGTGATCGGATTGCCATCACCTACGACTCTTCCGCGTCCTTGCCAACCTATGCACTGGCCCTGCGGCGTGCCTTTTGTAGGCAAGACTACGACTTGGCTGCTAACATCCTGGAGCGTCGACCCTTCCTGATCGAGGAGGCGGAGTATATAGTATGGGGTGACGACGGGCTTCCTCTTGTTTGGGCGGCTAAAAGACGGGAAGTCGGTGCTATTTCTACGCTGCTACAGGCGCGGGCATCTCCTAACATGACGACGCCCGGCCACGCCGCCCCGCTTCTGCTCGCGGCTCGGCATGGGGGAATTGGATCGGTCGCTCTACTTCTCCTGGCTCGAGCAGATGTCAATCACGTCGATGCCGACGGCCTCTCCGCGCTGAGCATAGGGGCGGCGCTCCGCTCCCCCCCTTTGGTCTCGCTCCTGTTGGAGTTCCGCGCTCATCTGAGCACGCGGCCGGAGGTTCTTTTGCCGCTATTGAACAGCACGTTCCAGCGCGATGGCCTCGGCCACGACCATTGTGAAACGTCGGTTCTGCTGCTGCGCGCAGCCGGCGGCGTTGGGCATTCCGACGTGGTCCACAAGGTAATTTCGGAACTCGTTCCGCGACTCCTGGCCGAGGGCAATTGGTCCGCCATCTTCGTGGTTCACTGCTGGGCGCACCTGCAGTTAGGACTCCAATCGACGGTCGCCTCCGGCTGTTGCCCTGCTTCGGCTTCGGGGTCCTAGGTTACAGGGTGTTCCTGTTGCCAGAAGAGCATCGAGGCGCAGTCATTCTGAAAGAAATCCTACGACGAGAAATGAGATCGTGCATGTAGGTTGGAGGAATAACTTCATTCCACGGCGCCGGCCCTTCTTTCTCTGTCTTTTCATCTCCCGGAGGTCCTTGCTCGATTGCGGGAGACGGACGTTGCCCGTTGCGACGGAGAGCTGATTGGACAGGCAGGGAACCGTTTTGCTTGCATTCGACGAGAACGATTTGCCAGCCTTCTCAGGGAAACACCGGTGTTTCGGCTTCTTGGCCAGGCCAAGCCGAGGTTACCCAGGAACCGAAAGGCAAGCCTTTCTGCCGTTCCGCCTGTCTCGAGCCAGGTTCGATCTTGTCGACGGGGATCGGTACTTTCCTTTCGTCTTGCGGAGCTGCTTTGGCAGGTTACTCAGGTACGAGCGACGCAGTTCGCGTCCCGCGCGCATGAATCCTTGTTTTGAAAGGCAGATTCACACAAATCGGTCGGCTCGAAAGGGAATGGCATCCTGCGCTATGTCCCGGGCCTTGGCTTCTAGTCACTTCAAGCTTTCCTGTCTTTGTTTTTTGCACTTAGGACACGACAAAGCCGAGGCGGGCTGCAGCGAAGGCCGATGTTGCACGCACACACACACACACACAGAAAGAAGCGCGTCGTTTCCGATTCGGATGTTTCCGCGATGTCAGGTTGAGTGCCGTCCCTCAACGGCAGAGACTAGGATTTTAGAGAGGCAGGGATGCTCCTGACTCCTTGCTCTTGTGGCGGAGCACGCGAAGGCAGCAGGGCGAGACTTCTGCAGGGTCTCGGCTCTCTAGCCAGACCAAGCCGAAATTTGCACCTGACGTACATCTTCGGGTAGTCTTTGCGCGGCCAGTCGCCATGGCTTTGCACGGGACATCAAAAATACACGTTGCCGAGCATCCCAGCGACCTGCGCGTCGCTTTGCTGGAGGTTGGAGGAAGAAGTTCATCTCACGGCGCCGGCCCTTCTTTCTCGGTCTTTTCATCTCTCGGAGGTCCTTGCCCGATTGCGGGAGACGGACGTTGCCCGTTGCGACGGAGAGCTGATTGGACAGGCAGGGAAGCGTTTTGCATGCATTCGACAAGAACGATGTGCCAGCCTTCTCAGGGAAACACCGGTGTCTCGGCTTTTTGCCCAGGCCAAGGCGAGGCTACCTAGGAACCGAAAGGCAAGTCTTTCTCCCATTCCGCCTGTCTCGAGCCAGGTTCGATCCTGTCGACGGGGATCGGTACTTTCCTTTCGTCTTGCGGAGCTGCTTTGGCAGGTTACTGAGGTACGAGCGACGCAGTTCGCTTTCTGCGCGCTTCAATCCTTGTTTTGTAAGGCAGATGCACAGAAATCGGTCGGCTCGCCAGGGAACGGCATCCTGCGCTGCGTCCCGGGCCTTGGCTTCTAGCCACTTCAAGCTTTCCTGTCTTTGTTTTTTTGCACTTAGGACACGACAAAGCCGAGGCGGGCTGCAGCGAAGGCCGATGTTGCACGCACAAACACACACACACAAAGAAGCGCATCGTTTCCGATTCGGATGTTTCCGCGATGTCAGGTCGAGTGCCGTCCCTCAACGGCAGAGACTACGATTTTAGAGAGGCAGGGATGCTCGCGACTCGTTGCTCTTGTGGCGGAGCACGCGAAGGCAGCAGGGCGAGACTTCTGCAGGGTCTCGGCTCTCTAGCCAGACCAAGCCGAAATTTGCACTTCATGTACATCTTCGGGTAGTCGTGGCGCGGCCAGTCGCCATGGCTTTGCACGGGACATCAGAAATACACGTTGCCGAGCATCCCAGCGACCTGTGTGTCGCTTTGCTGGAGGGTCTGCCCAACTGGCTCGAGGCAGCTCCCATGCTGGTTTTGGGGAGAGACCCTGCCGGGATCGGTGTGCCGGAATTGAAGCGCGATCTAGGGCGCGCTTTCGGCATCGCTCCCGTATTTCTGCAGCTGCGGGAGACTCGACGCGATATCGGCGAAGGGGCGAATTGCCCGCTCCTTTGGCATGTGCGCTTCGTGCGGCCAGCGCTGCTTCCCTTCCAATGGGTCCTTACCGTCAACGTCTATCTGACGCGCGGGGACGAGATCGAGGCCTTGGCAGTGCTTATGCATGACGAGGTGCCGGACTTGGCAGACGACATCTGGGACCAGACGTTCTCGACTATCCGACGTCAGCACTTTAAACTTATCATCATGCTGATCCTGCGAGGCCGCCTCGCCGTTGATCATCGGCTATCGGCGGAAGATGCTTCCTTCTGGCGCGCTCCGCTCCTCTCACTAACTGCGGCAGGGCCTCGATGCCATTTCGAAGCGCTTTTGGCACTGCGGGCAGACGTAAACAAACCCGACAGTCGTGGTCATACCCCGCTGGTTTATGCGGTCTTGGCAAACTCACACGCTCGCACTACGCTGCTCCTGCGGGCAGGTGCCATGGTCGCGCCGGGCACGGGATACTGCCCGCTCCTGTTGTCCGTGGCCAAGAGGCAGCGTCAAATGGTGCACATCCTGCTACATGCGAGGGCGTGCCCCTATCGGCGCTCTTCAGCAGGCAGCCTTCGCGGACTTTCTCCGCACGGTCTGGCGTACCAATGGGATGACTCAGAGACCATGCGGGCTTTTCGAATCCACGGGCACCATGCCGCCGGCCCGCACCCGGCGATCCTGCCCGTGTCTTTTTCCTTGAGCGGAAACGAAGTTGCCCTGAGTGAAGTCGGAGCCGAACATGCCTCCGTGCTACAGCTGTGCCATCGCATGCCAACGGTGGGGTTATCTGCCGAAGAACGCAGTGATCGGGTTGCCATCACTTACAACTCATCCGTGTGCCCGCGGGCCCACGCATTGGCCTTGCGGTGTGCCCTCAGTGGGGGCGACCATGACTTGGCAGCCAACATCCTCGAGCGTCGTCCTGACCTGATCCAGATGTCGGATTATCGAGCGTGGGGTTTTAACAACCTTCCTCTTTTGTGGGCGGTCGAGCACGGGGAAGCTGGTGCTGTTTGTACGCTACTACAGGCACGGGCATCTCCGAACGTGACGCGCGGGTCTGCTGCCCCGCTTCTTATTGCGGCTCGACAGGGAGATCTTTCGTTGGCCGCCATGCTTCTCCTAGCACGAGCAGATGTGAATCTTGTCAGTGCCGACGGCCGCTCCGCGCTGAGCATAGGGGCATCCTTCCGCAATCTTCCTCTGGTCTCGCTTCTCTTGGAGTTCCGTGCTCATGTCAGCCCACGCCCCGAGGTTCTCTCGGCGGTATTTCAGAAATCGTTTCTGGGTGGCGGCAGAAGCTTCGATCATTGTGCCGCGGCGCTTCTGCTGCTACGTGCTGCTGGTGCCCTTCCGCACTCCGTTGTCCATGCCGTACTCTCGGAACTCGTTCCGCAGTTCATGGCTGATGGCAACTGGAAAGCGATCTTCGCGATTCAGTGCTGGGCGCAGTCGCAGTTAGGTCTCCAACCGAAGGTTGGCTCCGACCGTTGCTTTGTCCTGGCTTCGGGGTCCTAGGCAACGGTGCGTGGCTGTTGCCGCAGGAGCACGGAGTCCGTGTCACATCGAAAGAGGACCGAGTACGGAAAATGAGATCGTGCATGTAGGCTAGAGGACGAACTCCATGCGACGGGACGGACTCTCTTTGTCGGTGTGCTTATCCCGTTCAGGTCCTTGCCTTGTCGACAGAGACACGCACTTTGCTTGTCGCGATGGAGAGCTTTCGGGGAGGCGGAGAATCGTCCTGCTTTGTGGCGATAAGAATGACGTGCTAGCATTCTCAGGAGAACAGGGGAGTCTCGGCGCCATGCCCAGGCTAACCTGATGCTGTGTATGAAGGGGACAACATGCTTTATCTCTCGCAGTCTGGGCTGTCGCCACGCAGTCAGTCTGCGAAGCTACCGATTTTCTCGATGGAGCTCCTGGACAGGCGGGGAAATGTCTTGCTTGGAGAGAGAATAAGAACTGGCCGGCATTCTCAGGGGAGCAGGGGAGTCTCGTGTCTGCGGCCGGGTCAAGGCGATGTGGAGCCGATACGTGCGTTGCCTCGAATTCAGAGTTCTGCCAGTCTCAGGTCGAGCTCCGTCCCTGAACGACAGAGCATACGAGCTCGGAGAGGCGGGGAAGCCGAGGGCTCGTTTTTCTCGTTTCGGAGCATGCGTGGGCGGCAGGGCGAGAGTCTCGCAGGGTCTCGGCTCTCTGGCCAGACCAAGCCGAGGTTGCAAGCGATTTAAATCCCGAGGTGGCTCTCCTGCGCCACGTCGCCATGGCTTCGCCTGGGCCCTTAAAAGTACAGCTAGGCGACCGTCCCAGCGATCTGTGTGCGGGGCTGCTGCACGGCCTAGCCAACTGGCTCGGGGCGACGCCCATCCTCGTTCGGGGGTCAGTTCGGGGGCTTCAGCGCGAGAAGGTCTTCATGCGGCAGCTCGGGCGTGCTCTTGGCGTCGCCCCCATCTTTCTGCAGCTGCAGGAAGACGGACGCGACGTCGCGGAAGCAGCGGCTTCGTCTGTGTTTGTGCACGTGCACTTCGTGCAGCCAGCGCTAACTCCGCTGGAATGGGTCGTCACCGTTGACGTCTATCTCGAGCGTGGGGACGAGGACGAGGCCTTGGCAGTGCTCATGCACCACGAGGTGCCGGAGCTAGCAAATGAGATCTGGGATGATACGCTGCGTATCATCGCCCAGCACCACCATTCCGTTCTCATCATGCTGATCATGCGAGGACGCCTTGCCGTCGATCGTCGGCTCCCGGTGGAAGATTTCTCTTCCTGGCGTGCTCCGCTTCTGTCGCTGGCCGTGGAACAGCCCAGAGGCGATTTCGAAGCGCTTTTGGCATTGCGGGCGGATGCTAATTTCCCCGACAGTCGTGGTCACACCCCTCTGGCTTATGCCGTCTTGGCCTACTCGCACGGTTGCACCACGCTGCTGCTACGAGCAGGTGCCTCGGTCGCGCCGGACACCGGATATTGCCCGCTCCTGTTATCCGTGGCCAAGATGCAGCGTCAAATGATGCATATTCTGCTACATGCTAGAGCCTGCCCCCATCGCTGTGCCGTAGCGGGCAGCCTTCGCGGGGTTTCTCCACATGGCCTGGCGTGTCAATGGGACGATGCAGAGACCATGCGGGCTTTTCGAATCCATGGGCACCATGCCGCCGGCCCGCACCCGGCGATCCTGCCCGTGTCTTTTTCCTTGAGCGGAAGGGAAGTTGCTTTCAGTGAAGCTGGAGCCGAACATGCTATCATTCTACAGCTTTGCCATCGCATGCCTCCGGTGGGACTATTTGCTCGAGAACAGTGCGATCGGGTTGCCATCACTTACGACTCTTCTGCGTCCGTGGATACTCACGCGCTTTTTTTGCGGCGTGCCCTTAGCGGGGGCGACTATGACTTGGCTGCCAATGTCCTGGAGCGTCATCCCTTCTTGATCGAGCAGGAGCATGGAGCATGGGGCGACCACGGCCTTCCTCTTTGTTGGGCGGCCGAGCGACGGGAAGTCGGAGCTGTGTCTACGCTGCTACAGGCGCGGGCATCTCCGAACACGACGGGCCGCCGCCGTGCTGGCCCGCTTCTGCTTGCGGTCCGATTCGAAGACGTCGGATCGGTCGCCACACTTCTCCTGGCAAGAGCAGATGTCAATCGCGCCAGTCCGGAGGGCCGCTCTGCACTGAGCATGGGGGCGGCGCTGCGCTCTCAACCTTTGGTCTCGCTCCTCTTGGAGTTCCGCGCTCACGTGAGCCCATGTCTCGAGGTTCTCTTGCCGCTACTGAACAGCACGTTCCTGCGTGTGGGCCAAGGCCACGACCACTGTGCAACGCCGGTTCTACTGTTGCGCGCGGCTGGTGGTCTTTCGCATCCCCTCCGGGTCCATGCCGCAATCTCGGAACTCGTTCCGAAACTCCTGGCCGATGGCAACTGGTCCGCAATCTTTCTTCTTCAGTGCTGGGCGCAGTCGCAGTTGGGTCTCCAATCGAAGGTCGGTCGCGACCGTCGCCTCGTCCAGGCTTCAGAGTCCTAGGCAACAGCGTGTGGCTGTTGCCACACGATCGCGGAGCCAGTGTCGTATCGAAAGAAACCCTACCGCGGAAAATAAGGTCCTGTGTGCCGGCGTGAGGAGGAACTCCACGCGACGGGCTGGGCTTTCTTCCTTGGTGTCCTTATCTCCGTCGGGTCTTTGCCTCGTTGACAGAGACAGACTTTGTTCGTCGCGGCACACGCCAAGGAGTACAGCATGCGGATTTACAGGATCTTCCAGGAAACAGCGCCCACCGAGCTTCGGGGCACTCGTTTTTTTTTTTTGACACTTTCCTAAGAAAGCCGAACGACAAGGCTCTGGTGGCGCCGGTGACAGCCTTGAAAATCAGGCTTCTTCTTTGACCTTCCTAGGAGGTCGACGACCAGTTTCCGGCAGCGTGACACAGTGGAAAGTCGAGCAAACAAGGGAGGCCGCCTCTGCATTCAGCGACGGTGCTTGCGTTCAGCGAGTGTGCAAGTCCTGCCCGTAGTTAGCGAGTGTGCAAGTCGAACACCAAAGCTTGGCCCTCTCCGACCCCCATAGGACGTTAGCCGGGTGCAGGGGTGGCTGGATACATTAATTTTCCTTGGGGTTACACAGCAGGTAATGTATCCTGTGGGGGGGGGTGTGGGAATCATGGTCGGGGATGGTGATCAACAAACCGTATTGCTTGCTGGCGACTAGAACCACTTGCCAGCATTCGCGGGAGAACCGGGGAGCCTCGACAGGCGGAGGTCGGTCCCTACGCGGCGAAGCCACGCCTTCGAGCAGGCGGGGACTTTTCCTGATCGCTTCGGAGTGGCAGCAGCAGGGGCAACGAGCACCGTCGCGAGGCTTTCGCAGGGTCTCGGCTCTATATGGCCAGACCAAGCCGACGTCGTAAAGGAGAGGTAGATAGTTTTAGGTTCAGAGTTTAGGGGTTTGGGCTTCGGGTTTATATATACGTTCGGAGTTAGAGAGATCGATGAAATCATGCATTTCAGAGAGACCTCGTCCAACAAATTGGGTTCAGAGTTTAGGATTTTAGGAGCCTTGGTGCTCAGATCTCACGGTTCATGGAGTTTGGAGTTTCTGGTATTCTGGGTTGAGGCCTTTGTGAGACCTTTAGTAGGGCTCGTGCCGAATTCTTTCTTTCGGTCTAGTTTCGGCTCCTCTTATCGGGCACTGGAGACCCTTCTCCCGGCAGATACGTCTTGCTAGAAGGGCCCCAGAACTCTGTCACGGGCCCTAGGCCGTAGCAGCTGCTGCTGAGAGATGGCCCATTCTTTCGTGGAGTTTCATTCACTTGCTGGCGCAGCTCCTGACGATGATGAGGCCGGGGACACGATCATTGAGCCTCCGGCGACCACTGCTGCTGTTGACGAGCTGCCTGGAGAGCGACTCCCAGATTCTGCAGATCGCTCTCGTTCACCGCCCTCGGATCGAGGTTTTGGCCGCCTGCCTGGCCCGCTGACTGCCGAGCGAGTCGACAAACATCTTCGTGAGGTCAAGGAAGAGCTCATCACCGTCCGCTTGGATCTGGGGCGCGAGCGTTACCGGACGAACCAGCTCCAGCGACAGGTCGGTTCCCTCATGCGAACCCTGGATGAGGCTCGAGCTGATCTGCAGGACTTGCGAAACCGCATCTCGCGTCTGGAGAATCCCGTGGGAGCACTTACTCCGCCCTGATGTGCCGCCGATGACATTTTGATCTGGACTCGGCCTGGCGTCCTCGAAGGTTGCCAGCTCATGGACTGTGACTGTGACTGTGTCGTGGGCCGTGGGCTGCGGCTGGCGCCCTATGACATGTGCCTGGCCAGCAAGCTGCCAGGGCCAGCAAGCCCCCCCGGCTTGAACAGCACGTTCCTGCGTGTGGGCGAAGGCCACGACCACTGTGCAACGCCGGTTCTACTGTTGCGCGCGGCTGGCGGTCTTTCGCATCCCCTCCGGGTCCATGCCGCAATTTCGGAACTCGTTCCGAAACTCCTGGCCGATGGCAACTGGTCCGCAATCTTTCTTCTTCAGTGCCGGGCGCAGTCGCAGTTGGGTCTCCAATCGAAGGTCGGTCGCGACCGTCGCCTCGTCCAGGCTTCAGAGTCCTAGGCAACAGCGTGTGGCTGTTGCCACACGATCGTGGAGCCAGTGTCGTATCGAAAGAAAACCTACGGCGGAAAATAAGGTCCTGTGTGCCGGCGTGAGGAGGAACTCCACGCGACGGGCTGGGCTTTCTTCCTTGGTGTCCTTATCTCCGTCGGGTCTTTGCCTCGTTGACAGAGACAGACTTTGTTCGTCGCGGGGAGGCCGCCTCTGCATTCAGCGACTGTGCTTGCGTTTAGCGAGTGTGCAAGTCCTGCCCGTATTTAGCGAGTGTGCAAGTCGAACACCAAAGCTTGGCCCTCTCCGACCCTCATAGGACGTTAGCCGGGTGCAGGGGTGGCTGGATACGTTAATTTTCCTTGGGGTTACACAGCAGGTAATGTATCCTGGGGGGGGGGTGTGGGAATCATGGTCGGGGATGGTGATCAACAAACCGTATTGCTTGCTGGCGACTAGCACCACTTGCCAGCATTCGCGGGAGAACCGGGGAGCCTCGACAGGCGGAGGTCGGTCCCTACGCGGCGAAGCCACGCCTTCGAGCAGGCGGGGACTTTTCCTGATCGCTTCGGAGTGGCAGCAGCAGGGGCAACGAGCACCGTCGCGAGGCTTTCGCAGGGTCTCGGCTCTATATGGCCAGACCAAGCTGACGTCGTAAAGGAGAGGTAGATAGTTTTCTAGAGGCGATGGAGTCGGCGCTTTTACACTTGCGCATTGCGCTTGCACTGCGGCGCCGGCAACAAGTCGAGCGCGAGCCGGACGATGCTTTTCGTTGTGCCACGACCGAATATATGATTCTGGAGGATTTCATACAGCTGCCGAGTTGGAGGATGCGGGCAAGCCGACGGTTTCTTTCTCTTGTCTCGGAGCATGTGTGTGCAGCAGGGCGAGTGTTTTGCAGGGTCTCGGCTCTCTAGCCAGGCCGAGCCGAGGTCGCATGTGACTTACATTTGGGGTTTGTGCTCGCGAGGCACATTGCCACGGAGTTGCAATTGCCCGTGAAAATACAGGATGCTTTCCGCTTTGGCGACGTACGTGCGGGGCCGCTGAACGGTCTCACCAGGCGCGTCGAGGCACGGCCCATCCTGGTTTCGACCGGCGAGACGGCATTCAAGAGAGTTCTCCGGTGCGTTCCGGGCGCCGCTCCCGGGTTTCTGCACTCGCGGGACCCCTTGTGCGATGAGCATCGTCTCCCGGTGGCCGTCGCCGTAGCATCCTGGAGTCAGTGTCATACCGAAAGAAGGCCCATGACGGAAAACGAGGTTGTGCGTGCAGGGGAGAGAAGGAACCGGACGTGACGGCCCGGGTTTTCTTCTTCGGCGCGCTTATTTCGTTCAGGTCCTTGCCTCGTCGACAGAGATGCACTTTGCTGGTCGCGACTGGCAGTTCCTGGACAGGCGGGGAACTGTCTTGCTTGGTGGTGACACGAACCAATTGCCAGCATACGGCGTGCTTAATTCGTTCAGGTCCTTGCCTCGTTGACGGAGATGCACTTTGCTGGTCGCGACTGGCAGCTCCCGGACAGGCGGGGAACTGTCTTGCTTGGTGGAGACCTAAACCAATCGCCAGCCTTCGCGGGAGAACCGGGGAGGCCCTCCGCGGTCGGAGGTTCGTCCCTGGGCGGCGAAGCCATGCCTGCGGATGGGCGGGGACCCCGCATCGTCGTTTCAGAGTGGCATCAGCAGGGGAAACGAGCAGAGTCGCGAGGTTTTAGCAGGGTCTCGGCTCCCTAGCCAGACCAAGCCGACGTCGTAAAGGAGAGGTTCTTAGTTTTCGACAGGCGATGGCTTCGGCATTCCTGCAATTTCACATCGCCCTTGCACTGCGTCGCCAGCAGCAAGTCGAGCGCGAGCTCGACGCTGCTTCTCGTCGTGCCATGACAGAAAGTGATTTTGGAGGATTTCATACAGCTGCCGAGTGGGAGGACGCGGGGCTTCGCATGCGACACCGTCCGACGGGGGCTTCGGCTTCAGGTGCCTCCGGTGCATTGTCACATTTGACCGACGAGGAGCTGTGGGAGGAGATCCGGACAAGCATCCATCGCCTCGAGACCCTGGCAGCACCCAATCGGCTCGAGACCCCGGCGGCGCCCGATCTCGCTTCGGGGCTTTCCGAGATCGCCAGCGACATCAGCAAAGGCTCCAATGCCGTTGCCGACTCGGGTGCTTCTCGCACCGCCCTCGCCGACGTGCTCAGCGAAGAGGAAGTTGAGTTGGAACCGACAGAAGTCGCTGCCGAGGCTACTGCTTTAGGCGAAAGCCCGAGGGGTCGCCGGAGCACAGCATCTCGTACTCCCTGGTCTTCATCCGAGATCCTTGTTCTGGCTCGCGTATACCGAGATGATTCTTTGGAATGCTACACCACGTGCCTTGGTGGCGAGACTTGCAGCCGGCTGCTTAATTCGGCAGCTGCAACCTGCGGCTCAGACGATCTTTGGACCGCCTGGAGGGTCGAGTCCGTGGACATTCGCCTGCGAGCCATCGGCCATCGAGCACGTTACGAGACGACCCTGGAGGAAGTGTCTTCCGCTCACCTTTCCAGAGCGCTTCGACTTGCGGTGCTTCGCCGCGGATTCGCGCATCGAGAGGCCCGTCGAAGGCGTGCAGTCCTGGCGGCTCGCCGCGAGGCGGCAGCTGCCCGCCGAAGGTTTCTTCTTTGAAGGATGCTACTTCGTATACTGCATTTGAAAAGCCGAGCTCCCTTGCGTCCTGCTGTCCGGAACTTCCAAGTCCCGAAACTCTGCTGTGCGCTGTTAGAATTCCAATCATCGGATCTTTCCAGGCGGATCTTCGTCCTCTTGCGGCAGAGCCGTTCCTCCGGAGAGGCGGGGAACCCGCTCGATTGCTGCGGACGACATGAGCAGGGGCGAAGAGCATCGTCGAGGCGCTTTCGCAGTGTCTCGGCTCTCTAGCCAGGCCAAGCAGATACTGCCCGGGAGAACAGCCTAGATTTCAGGAATCGTTGCCTCGAGACGCCATGGCCGAGCGGAAACTCGGTAGTTGCCAGTGCAAGCAGTTCTTTTTCTGGGGCTGCTGCGAGCATCTCTGCGCGTCAGTGGGGAAATGCGACAAGTCGAACATGGCGATCCATCGCGAGCGTTCGGAACGAGGCCACAGGAAGGGCAACACGAAGCCAACGGAGATGCTCGACAAGAAAGCCAATTCCTCCGGCCGTGGCCCTTGCAAATCAGCAGCATCCAGCGTCGAAAGGGGCAAGGTCGCCGAATCGAATCCGACTGCTGTTGTCGAAGACGATACCGAGGACGCACCGCGGAAGCGAGCGTTTTCTCAGGCTCGCCCTGGTCTCGAGTCCTCGGCTTGACTGAGAAGACCCACACCTGGCCAGCAAGGCGCCGCGACCGCGGCAAGATCGCTGATGTCGGCGGGTGCAAAAAGTCGAGAGCGCGTTTCTTGCGCTTCTAGCATCTCCGTCTCAGCGTACCTGTCGCTGCATGTGGCTGACTTCTGTCTTCTCGCCGAGGTCGGTGGGTGTTCGCAGGACACAGAAACTCGGTCGATGGCGCTGTACATCTCCCGGAAGCACAGCGGGACATATCCCGCAGCACTGGCTTTCCTGTTACCTCGGCAGTTCCCTGGCAACCCCACGAGGCTTCGCTCCGAAGGAGAAACCTCCAAGGTCTGATCTATCTATTTGTCCATCTATGCAGCTATTAGCTATCGAGCTGCTCCCGATCCTCATCTACATCTTTCTCGGCTGGCGCCGTCTGGGTCTCGGGATAAGAGCAGTGCATTGGACTCGATCGACTTTGCGAGCTTGGTACTGATTTCCGCAGTCCCGCTTCTGTTGTGCGATTCTGACATGGCAGTGGGTCAAAACCTTGAGGTTTGCACAACAGGGCCAGGGCGCCCCTGACGCGACATCGTTTGCAACGATTCTGGTGTTCGCATCAAAGCCGCTGCCTGAGTGTCCTGATGCGCCGGAAGCTGGGACTGGTGTTATCGGCAGGCGACATACTGACCCTGAATCTCAGGAGGCGAATGCAACTGCCCCCGATGCGCTTTATCTGAACAAGGACACCGACCTCGCGCCTTCAACCTGAACCCCTGTGCAAGCCGCTGCAGGAGAATAGCCGGGTCTCGGCTTCCTGGCCAGACCAAGCCGAGTTCGTGCAGCAGGACGGACGGGCCGCCCGGACGTTCGATCCGAGCGCCAGTCGTGCTCGCTTTCGGTCAGCACGGTCGTCTCGAGGCTCCGTTTGTTCGTCTTTGCATGTGAGGAGGCCAGAGCTGAAGCGCCTGCAATTTCGAGTCCGAATCCCTGAGGTTTTAGGTGCATTCTGCCTCCAATTCAGATTTCTGTTTCTCCGAGGTCGAGCTCCGTCCCTGACTTGCAGAGGTAGGAGGCGGGGAACCGCTGACCCGCTTGTTTCTGTTGTCGTGCAGCATTCCTGGGCAGCAGGGCGAGAGTTTCGCAGGGTCTCGGCTCTCTAGCCAGATCAAACCGAAATAGTACACGACAACAACACAGACTCACGCAAGCTTCGAAGCATGCACACCATTTTCGCTCGCATCGAAGTGCAAGGCGCGTCCGGACGCGATGGTCCGACGCGCGTTGCGGCCGGAGGAGCTGGCGAGGAAGGTTGAGATCATGCAGACGCTCCTCAAGGAAACTCGCAGGTCCGTTTTCCACGCCACGACAATTCTTTGCAGTCTTTGGAACATCTCGAAGATCGCGTCGCCGATGCTGTCAGACGTACCACGGACGATGCGGCACGGCTTCTGTAAAATTTCGGGGCACGGCCAGCAATCGTCCGTGCGAGGCGTCGACACGAACGTGCAAGTGCTCCTGGACATGCTGCAAGAAAAAACCATACGACGGGATTCCCTTGCGGCTGCACTTTCTCGAAGAAAGTTTCTCGACGGGCTTCGAGAACGTGTTCGGTGCGGCTTCGCCAAAGCACTTGACATTGACTCGTGGCAGCTTTGACGATGTGCTAGAAACGTGCAAGCAACGTTTTACGATGGTCGTGCCACCGCGGCCATAGCCTTCGATGGCGATGGCCTCGACGCCCAAGCATAGGATACAGGTAAAGGTACATTCTTCCGATCTTTCTGGGCCTGGCTCTCGTGCTTGTCGGTTATCGATACGCACGAGAAGCAGGTCCAGAAAGATCTGGAGAATTACCTTTACCTGTTAAGATCAGCGCAAACCATGGAGAGAAAAATGAGAGAGGTGTGCGGCTGCGGCGAGACCCCGCAAACCGGGTCGCCATCCGCCTCTGCCCCGGAGCCGGGCCCCCTTGCGGGACGGGGCCGCTCCCGGGCAGAGGCGCGTGGCCACCCGGTTGGCCGGGCCGCGCCGAAGCCGCACACCTCTCTCTCTGTTTCACCCAGTTTCACCCGGTGAAGCTGGGTGAAACAGTCTCTCCCACGGTTTGCGCTGATCTTAACGCGGGCCGGCACAACGGACAGGAGATGGGTCAGCCTTCTCAATTTCATGCCAGCCTGCGATCGAAGAGCTCTTTGCTTACGATTCAAGTTGCAGGAACCCATGGAAGGATGACGCCTGTGTAGACAGGGTACGAGTTCGAGGGACGGTGTCCTTGTATTGGAATTATTTATTGAAGCAAGACGTGGTTGCAGCCGTAAGAACTGCGGTTACGGCTCGTCTCGTGTAGCCGTCCAGCTCCTGTCAGCCTCCTCGCGCACAGCCGAGCTTGAGGTGGCCGCACGATCTGAAAGTGCCAAAATGTCAATGCCGCATTCTTTCTTCAGTCTTCGGGTTTGGGACTTGGGAAGTCCAGCATTCAGGACCGTATTTAGATGTTTTTTGCGGCTTGAGGTAAACGGAGGCTTCTCGGGGGGCGCAAGGCTGTTTGTGACACTTCTTTTCAGTAGAAACCAGCTAAAAAACCGAGGCGAGACCCTTCCAAAGTCGAGCCCCGCCAGACTTCAAGGCTCCGAGAGAGGAGCATGTGGTGTGAACCTCCTGAGCCCAAAGGTCCCGAAGCCGATGTACTCTTACCCCCAGAAACCCAAGACCCGTGCCCAAAACCCTCCAACCCGAACATCCGCCCGAAAAGAACCTTAAACCCCCAAATCCGGAAACCCAACAGAAAAAATATAAACCTCGGAAGCCCGAAAACCCCGAAGAAGAGCGTCGAGGCCCGGCGACCGTCTCCCGGCTCCCGGCTCCTCTCCTCCTTCGCTTTCCTGTCGGTGAGGTGCTGTCAATCTTCTTGACCGAGCTGATTACGAACCTGGTGAGGTCAGACACCAGCTGCGCGCCACCGAGGCCCGACGGCCTTTCGAGTGCAAGCCGGCCTGCCGTTGCCGCAGGAGAATCAGACGGAGCTGGAGCGGAAGCCACAGGCGAGGAGGGCCAACGGAGGGCTTGGGAGTTTTCGTAACAGCTAGGTTCTCCACCAGCCGATGCCGCGAGGTTCCGCAGGAGAATAGGGGGGTCTCGGCTTCCTGGCCAGACCAAGCCGAGCTCGTGCAGCAGGACGGAGGGCGGCCCAGACGTTCTATCCGAGCGCCAGTCATGTTTGCTTTCGGTTAGCAGGGTCGCCTCGAAGCTGCGTCTGTTCTTCTTCGCGCGGGTGGCCACCCGGTTGGCCGGGCCGCGCCGAAGCCGCACGCCTCTCTCTCCGTTTCACCCAGTTTCACCCCGTGAAGCTGGAACAGTCTCTCCAATGGTTTGCGCTGATCTTAACGCGGGCTGGCACAACGGATGGGAGATGGGTCAGCCTTCGCAATTTCATGCCAGGCAGCGATCGAAGAGCTCTTTGCTTAGGATCGAAGTTGCAGGAACCCACGGAAGGATGATGCCTATACAGACAGGGTACGAGTTCAATAGACAGTGTCCTTGTATTGGAATTATTTATAGAAGCAAGACGTGGTTGCGGCTCTAAGACTTGTGGTTACGGCTCGTCGCATGTAGCCGTCCAGCTCTTTTGTCGGCCTCCTCATGTACAGCCGAGCTTGAGCTGGCCGCATGACCAGAAGATGCCAATGCCGATGCTGCATTCTTTCTTAAGTCTTCGGGTTCCCGAGGCCGAAAGTCCCAAAGCCGATGTACTCTTACTTTTAGAAGCCCAAGGCCCGGACCTAAAACCCTCCAAGCCAAACATCCACCCGAAAAGAAGCTCGAAGCCGTAAATCTGGAAACTTAACGAAAAAAAAACCTTTGAAACCCGAAAACCACGAGGAAGAGCGTCGAGGCCCGGCGACCGTCTCCCGGCTCCCGGTTCCTCTCCTCCTTCGCTTTCCTCTCGGTGAGGTGCTGTCCATAGTATTGACTGACCTGATTACGAACCTGGTAAGGTCCGACACCAGCTGCACGCCACCGAGGCCCGACGGCCTTTCGAGTGCAGGCCGGCCTGCCGTTGCCGCAGGAGAATCAGGCGGAGCTGGAGCGGAAGCCACGGGCGAGGAGGGCCAGCGGGGGGCTTGGGAGTTTTTGTAACAGCTAGGCTCTCCACTAGCCGATGCCAGGAGGGCTGGACCGCTTCCGGCGAGCACGATGCCAGGAGACCCCTTCGACATGCGCTCTATCTGAACAAGGACACCGACCCCACGAGTTGAACCTCAATTTCTGTGCAAGCCCAAGCCGAGTTTGTGCGGCAGGACGGAGGGCCGCCCGAACGTTCCGTCCGAGCGCCAGCGGTGTTCGCTTTCGGGCAGCACGGTCGTCTCG